TGCCTCTTATCAAATTTCTTGTGTCTTCTTTTCAAAAAGGGGTCATTTGGGGGGGGGGGGGGTGTTTGTACTATCCTGGCATTTTAGGACCACCGAAACCGTGATGGGTAGTGAGGAAGTGGTATGAGGAAATATGCCCTTTGAAAGCCTGAAAGTGGTCATTGTGTTATGGGGGCTTGTACGTGGCTAGGCTGCCAAAAAGTCTCTCACGTAATATCCCCATACTCAGGAGAAGTAGCAGAATGTGTTTTGGGGTGGATTTCCACATAAACCTATGGCATGCATATATTTAAGTGACAACTTTGTATTACAAAAAAAAAATGTTTTTTGGAATTTTTGTGTGTGGCAAAAAATAAAATCTAGTCTACTTTCATGTACACTTATGGGGATTTTTTTTAAAATCAAAGACATGTAGCAGAATACATTTTGGCCTAAATTTGTGACTAACTTTGAGTTTATTGGATATTTTTATAACCAAATTTAGAAAATATCGGTACGGGGGGGGTGTTAAAAAAAAAAATGACATTTTTTTCATTTATATCACAAAAACTAAAAATTCCAGTGGTGATCAAATACCACCAAAAGAAAGCTTTATTTGTGGGAAAAAACATAAGTTTTGTTTGAGTACAGTGTTGCATGACCGCACAATTACCAGTTGAGATCACGCAACGCCAAATAGCAAAAAATTACCTGGTTATGAATGGTGGTAAATTTTTCCCATCAGGGAATGAAAGTATCTCGGGAAAATGGATAAAGGATAGTAGCACACGTTTGAAAGATATTGTAAATAAAGGGGAATTATGTTCTTTTCACGATTTAAAGAACAAGAAATTGTATGTTAGTGCAAATAAAAAAAGTATCACGGACAGTACTCAAACAACAAGAAAGAAATATTTTCAGTATTAGATGAATGGAAATATTATCAATTGAGACATTTTGTTGCAAAGCTCCCACAACCATTAAGGACAGAGGAGGAAATGTACCTTTTTAGAGCATATGTTTAAATAAAATACTAAATCATGCTACCTCTAGAATTTTTAGGATCCTCACGGAAAATATTCTGATTAGAGTCTCAAGGGTTCATAGATAAGCGGGAAAAGGAATATATTTATTAATGTCTTGTAAGATGGTACATTACACCTAATGTAGCACATAAGCAGAGTTCAGAGGTATCACCTCTTTGTTGGCGAGGGTGTGGGAGTAAGGGAACACATTTGGTGGCTCTGCCCCAAAATACAGGGATATTCAAATTCAATAGATACAGGAGATACTGAAGACTAGTATACTGCTAGATCCAGGTATTTGTCTCTTTCACATATCTCAGACTTCTGTGAAGCACTGTAAGAACACAATATTGTATCACTTAATAAATGCGGCCAAAGGCCTTCTTCCTAAACTGACAAGAAACAGAGCCCCCAAAAATAAAAGATTGGATAACTAGAGTGGAGTATATACTTAAGATGTAAGACTAAGAAGTAAATGAAAAGAATAAGAAGTCAAAGGGGTAACGGATGGGGGAGGGGGGGGGGAAGGCAGAAGGGGGGATAGGGAGTGGATAAATGTAAGAAGAATTTGTGTTTTATGACGTTTGTTATAAAGTGGATTTTATATTAGGAAAAAATGTATAAAGATATAATATATAAAAAAAAAACAGGCCTTTTCTGACACTTTTTGTTTGTTTTACATGTAAAAATCAGTATATTTTGCTTAGTACCTACAAAGATTATATATTTTTATTAAAGCAGAGGCCCTAGGTTAGGCGTCATGGATCATGCGTGTACAGTGTTGCATGACCGTGCAATTGTCAAAGTAACGCAGGGCCGTATCGCAAAAAAAAAATGGCTTGGTCAGGAAGGGGGGTAAATTCTGGAGGGCAAATAGTTAAGGTGAGTGTGCATGCCTGAAGGTGGAGGAGCTCACTAGATTTGCACATTTGTTGAAGTCACTGGTGCATTAGTTTTAAATGTTTGAAGAAATACTTTTGGACTGCATTTTGCACTTTATTAAGTGTCATTCTTCACCATTTATCTGATTTATATATATATATATTCAGTATAGTTGCTTATCTTTATTTATTATGCACTTTTTGTGACTATCTAGCCCAGTTGAACATTTACTTGATTCATCACCTATGTATTTTATTGGGGGGCTGATTGCTCAGCCAGACATTTGTTTTGTAATCATTTAATACTGTTTTTGTTGTTTTTCACACGTTATTCTTTAGCTCAGCCGGTTGTTTATTATAGCTCGGCCAGGTTTTTACTGCTATTGTGATTGTGTTTTATTTCTGTTCTATATTTCAGATATTTATTACTGTTCTTATTCTTTAGCTCATCCAGGTATTTATTTTAGGTTGCCCAGGTGTTTATTGCCACTTGATTATGGTATATTTTTGATATGTGTTACACATATCATTTGGATTTAGTGTCTCAGCCAGATTTCTTATTAACAATTGACTTTATTTGTTTCACGGATTTATTTATTTACACATTGGAGTTTATGCTCAGGAGGGTGTTTATTTTTTGGGTCACTAGGAGGCAGCGTAGCACAGCACTATTGTTACAATTTTTTATGTCACATGGTATATGCGCAGTGGTTTTTCAAACAGTTTTTTTTTTTAAATACACTTCTTTGAATTTTAATACATAAAAAAACACACTATAATACCTAATTGTTTGGCAAAAATATAAAAGATGATGTTACGGCAAGTAAATAGATACCACACGTCATGATATTTTATAATCCATAAGCGACACTTTAAAAGCCTTTACAGGGTACCACTTTGAATATACATAGGAGGTCTGGTGCTAGAATTACTGCCCTTGATCTATCATTTATGGTGATACCTCACATGTGTGGTACGATCACTGTGTATGTATGCTTGCAGGACCGACGTGTGCATTCGCCTTTGTGTGCAAGGACAGGGGCACTTTAAAAGATATTTTTTTTTGTTCACTTTTATTGTCATCACAGGAAATGTAACCATCAGCTGTGATAGCAAAAGGCAGTGATATGTCCTTTTTACTGAGAAATCTGGGGTCTGTTAGCTCTATAGTCAGCCAGCATAACCTCTGGCTACACTGTTGGGTTCCCTGGTGGAACAGGAGAGACTGAGAAAACCGCTAAGATGGCTTTTACAAGAAAGCTGACTGCCAGCTGAATACAACAATATTGACCCCAGCTAGGTTTTAAATTACCCCAGCTGGGAACGCGCATGCCGTTCTCCTGTCACCGGTCCAATCTTTCTGAATTGTGCAGGCCCCCTAAAAAGACTTACACATGCAGTGCCAGCCAGTTGCCCCACCACCAGAGAGCATGAAAGAAAACCCCACCTATAGGCAGGACCATCAACGAGCAAAGAAGGTAGGAGGGGGGACCAGACCTAAGTCCGCCCCTCCCCTCAGCTGGATGTTGCATGCTCGCCCAGAAAAAAAGAAGAGCAACTCATCCTGCAGGTCTTGGAAGGAAACAGCCCAAAAAGGGATCCCAGACACAATATTAAAATATAGAAATATAGAATAACATATGAATAAACCTTATGTAAAAAAAAACACAATCAACAATGGACTGTTGAAATCCACAATAAATATACTAAAAAGTATGCATCACCTATAAGTTTTTGAATATACAGTATATTTTGATTGGAATTCCTAATACTATATTATCCTGGCCTGAATATATATATATAAGAATACCATCTCCAACTTGTGGTAGTATCCTGCCCATTTCCTAAAAAGTATTTTTATGGTACTTAAAGTGATTTTAAATTCTAAAATGTTGTTTTAGACTTTAGTATTGCCCAGCAATCCTGAACCTCCTCTGCTCAAGATCAATCTCGTAAGTATGCCATGATAGAAAGTCGCTTCCTGACGTTGCACAACTGCAAGCTCGATCCTGAGCCCTGCTGTCTGTTTCCATTGATACAGAAATGGAGGCTGAACCCCACCTCCCACTCTCTCATCACAGGATTTGACTGACAGCAGGAACCATTGGCTCCCGCTGCTCTCAGCAAAGTCTGTGAGAGTGGGGAGAAGAGGAGAGAGTTGCTATAAACAGGCACTTCGCTGGATCAAGTGAGGGCTCAGGCAACCATTTTTTGTATACCAGATGTGATTCTGTATTCTCGGATGAAAGTGTCTAATGGTTTTGCCTATCTAGTAGGCACCACAGGTGCAGGACATAAACTACACTACGTCAATCATGTCACAATTTATGTAATGCCTTGGTGTAGTAACCTTGTTATTAGGAGGCTGTCTAAGCCAGTTTTTTCTGTTGAGCTGCCTTGCAAAAAGCCACCTATTCCTTAACCACTTGCCTACCAGGCACTTATACCCCCTTATTTACCAGGCCAATTTTCAGCTTTCAGCACTACCGCACTTTGATTGATAATTGCGCGGTCATGCAACAATGTACCCATATGAAATTTTGATCATTTTTTTCCTCACAAATAGAGCTTTCTTTTGGTGGTATTTAATCGCCACTGGGCGCTTTACTTTTTGCGCTATAAATAAAAAAAGTGCAAAAAATTTGAAAAAAAAAAAAAGTTTCTTTGTTTCTATTATAAAATTTTTCAAACAGGTATTTTTTCTCCTTCACTGATGTGTATTGATGAGGCAGCACTGATGGGCACTGATAGGCGGCACTGATGGGCACTGATAGGCAGCACTAAAGGGCACTGATAGGCAGTACTAATGAGGTGGCACGGATAGGCGGCACTGATAGACAGCACTAATGAGGTGTCACTGATAGGCGGCACTGATAGGTGACACTGATGATGGGTACTGATAGACGGCACTGACTGGCATCACTGCTGGGCACTGACTGGTGGCACTGACTGGCACAACCCCTGGGCACTGACTGGTGGCACTGACTGGCAGCACTGCTGGGCTGCACTGGTGGGTGGCACTGGTGGGCAGCACTGGTGGGTGGCACAGGTGGGTGGCACTGCTGGGCACAGGTAGGTGGCACTTCTGGGCACAGGTGTGTGACACTGCAGAGTGGCACAGGTGGGTGCACTGCTGGGCACAGGTGGGTGCACTGCTGGGCACAGGTGGGCGGAGCTAGTGGGCGCACTGCTGGGCACAGGTGGGCGGAACTTGCGGGTGGCACTGCTGGGCACCGATCATCAGGGCACTGATCATCAGTGCCCTGATGATCGGTGCCGATCCCCGCTCTGACAACTGCTGGTTCTCGGCAGTACGTTCCTCATGATCTGACAGCGTGAGGAAAGTGCAGCCGAGAACCGGCACTTGCATTTCCCTCTGATCAGCGTGTCATTGGACAACGCTGATCACGTGGTAAAAGGCCGCTGTGATTGGCCTTTTACCACATCACGTGATCAGCTGTGTCCGTAGGACACAGCGATCACGGAGATCGCCGGGTGCGTGCCCCCTGGGGCGCGCAGGAGAGCGCGTTCTGGGAGGACGTCATATGACGTCCACTCAGAACTGGCCGGCCGCAGTGCAGCCGTCATTCGGCTATCTGCGGTCGGCAACTAGTTAATGACTGTGCAGGAGAATGGCAGTGAGGACAGGTATTGAAGAGTGAGGCCTGTGGACCATAAAAATGCAGTTTTTCATGTGACACTGCACAAACCCCCTTAGTCCTCATGCACACTGGACATTTTTACAGCTGCTGTTTTTGGCTTTTGATGTGTTTTTCTATAGCCAGTAAACTCGCCAGCATGTTATCCTATGTGTCCATGCACACATAGACTGTAATCAGCGTTTTGTAGCAGGGGCGTTTTATGGCTGGAAAAAAACTCCAGAACTAGTGGGTTTCTAGAGGAGCTTTTTAGCTGCAAAAACGCTCTAACTCTGAAAAACACTGTAAATTGTGGCAAACCAGCGTTTTTGTACTTTTTTGTTGTAAAAATAAAGCTAAAAAACGCGGTTAAATGCTAATGTAAAAACACTGATAAACTCTTGTTTTTTAACGTGACCTTTCACAGATAATGTTACCAGTGTTATTAAACTGCCCAGTGTGCAAGGAACCTTGTAGGTTTCTTTCTGAGATAGAAGCAGATTGGATACAAAGGTTGCAAACCTAGCTGCTTTTGAGAATGACAACCCTTCCCTGCATAGGAAGGAGGTCCCTGAGAAAGAAATTGCTTTGCCAAAAGGACCTTTGGGGAGCGGGTACCCGAATTTGACAGGTACCCGATCCCACTTCCGCAGAGTTGTCCTTCTCCCTCCCTCCCTGTTTTCTGGGACACGTGACAGGTCCCAGAAGACTGCCGGGCCATTCACAAAGCGCAGCGCTACTCGCGCATGTGCAGTGGGCATTCGGCTGTGAAGCCGCAAGCTGTGCCACGCGGCATTGGGAATACCAGGCCATCCGCTCTCTTAGGCGCACAGACATTTTCCTCCATTTTTTTGGGGGGGGGGGGGGGGGGAGTGCGTCTTATGGAGCGTAAAATACGGTACTTGGTATAGTTGTATTATTTGATTAAAGGATTAGTGCAGACCTGAAGGTTTTGGTTATGTTAGTCATGATGCTAGCAGGTGGACTGATATTGAACTTCACAAAGGGGAGAGTCTGTATACCTTACACAAGGGCACTGAGCTTCTTAGGCATTTAGGAAGAATTTTAGACATGCATTTAAACTGAGAAATGGGGGCAGAGATTTATTTGATGAACATTTCTGTCCCTAGCAGGTTAAACAAATGTGAAGGTGTGTGTTGCTAAGGAATGGGCTGATGGGGTAGTTACTCAAAATATAAAGTTTCTGGTATGTTTGCCACTGCATATGTGCTAATGCTCATTGTATAGACAACAAGCTTTGTGAGCTGACAGCTCTTATGCCTAGGGACAACTTGGACTGGTTGCAATTACAGACATGGGTTAAGGATTCACATGATTGGGAAATAACAATACCTGTTACAGGAACAACAGAGCAGGGAAGAGGGGCAGTAAAGTTGCCATATATGTCAAAAATAGCATAAGGCTAACATTAATTAAAAAAATAAATTAAATAATCAAAACCATCTGGATCTATCTTCCAACCAGAGAGGGATCTTCCCTTTTAGAATTTGTATAGTATACAGACCCCTAAGGCAGATTGAAGACAATGATAACTTGATGAGATAACTCAAATGGCAGTGGAGGAGATTTTAATTTTAGGTGATTTCAACATGGCTGACATTAACTGGAATTCTCAAACTGCTATCATAAGCTGGAGCAGGGATGTAATGGAGGCAATGGATGGTGTTTCTATTAAAACGTTATTAAAAAGCCAAACCCAAGGTGATCATATTCTAGACCTGGTACTGACAAATGGAGATTGATAATCTGATGCTGAGGTTGAAGAAAATGTGGGTTCTGGTGATCAATGACTTTGGTAGGATATTTAAAACAAGAACTGAAAAATCATATTCAAAAACAAAAGTTTTAGGTTTCAGGACACATTTTTCTGAAATGGGAGAATTTCTAAAAAAAATAATTAAAAGGTTGGAGCAAATCAACAGGAGTCTATAATAATCACTAGGCACTGTTGAAGTCTAACATCCTGGAGGCAACTAGATTATATGTCAGGCAAATTGGTAAAAGCAATACATTATGATAATAAAAGCAGGGTGTAGCTCTGAAAGTGACAAATATCTGTACTGGTATCAAATAATATAAATGCATAGAATAAAGTGACTGATGTAAAACGTGTCAATAGTAAAAACATGCATACATCATAAAAAACGCATAAAACCAGCTCATAATGAATAAATTAGCATAAAGTGCGACGTAAAGTGATGACCGTGTCACTAAATAGTGACAAATCAAGTGCAAAGTGCTGGACTGGTAAACCAACCAATAGTCCACAGTAAAGGTGCATGGGAGATCCTGATGATCTTCAAAATCCAGTAGTCTGGTCTGGTAATGTGGTGATATAAATGATAAGATTGCGCACTCACCAGATACGGTATCAAAATGCGCATTTGGAAATAATTCCAGAGAACTGGAGATCCCTCTGTGGTCTGGTCTGGTCAGTTGCCCCCCACTGCCTGGTATCCACTGCCACACATGATACAGCCGCTCTGTGGGTGTTAATAGCTCACAAGGAGCTCCAAAAGAGGAGGCCAGATAGTGTAATATCTTCCAAATAGGTGATGTTTATTCAAACAAATGCAGCACAAACAGTGGCTGTGAGGAAAAGAAATCACTGACCATCTGATGATATTCAAGATGGCCGCCGGGGCCCTCTTGGCGCCGGCGGCGTGACGTCACAACTCTGTAGCTCCTTCCTGACACGTTTCGTGCAACCGCACGTATTCATAGGGGGTATGCTTACAATGATGGACTTCTCTCGTGGCATTAAATAGTATAAATGGCTCATGCGCGTTTTAGCGCCCGCCATTTCCTAATCACTCAACGTCCTCGCGCCGGGCGCCATTTTCATGTAGCCCACGCAACTGCGCATGTGCGAGCGCCATATAAGCGAGGACAGGAGCCGTCTTCATGTAACGATGGTCACCAGGGAACACTCTATTAACCAAATGGAATTCTCAAGTGTGTATTAATCATTCATACACGTAGATTACAACGTGTATTGGTGGGAATATTAACATAACAGACGCGCACAGATTTATCACATCTGCCAATACAGCCCTGCACAGATACAGATAAAATAGCGCGCATGTCAATCTCATAACAGGGCAATCGAATACCGTAAATCAATATTCCCTATACTCCATATTAAGGATATTCTATATAACATACAATTAAGCCATGTTGTAAAATGAGAAAATATAAATAAAAGTGCATGGTGACCATGGTTACTGATATCCCTTAATACAGATACATACATAACAGCATAAAAATATGAATATGAAACAATAACAGTATATAGAAAAAATCAGATGGATAAATAACGGTAAAAACATGGGGTATCCATATGTAAAATACCTGGGTATACCCACGTCATAAATTTTAATAAGTAGAATAAAAAACCTCACATAGAATAGAATAGATAAAAATAGAATAAAATAGAACCTGAATTAAAATGTAAAATTCGTAATGACCATAAAATAAGACTAAAATCGCAAAGACCATGAAATGGGAAGGGGGAGGAGGTTAGGACTATAAATATGTCCTAATCGGAAGAGGAGATTGGTTATGTTGTGCTCCACTATATATGTTCTGAGTTGGGAGTGGAGTAAAACTCAGCTATTAACGATGAAACAATTGATATCCATCTTAATGTTCAATCCCCTAGGGTGCATCGATCCTATTTGGAATATCCATTTTGTTTCCATTTGGGACACCGCTCTCCTCTTGTTGGTGCCTCTCCAGTGGGCCTGCACTATATCAATACCCATAAAGGTTAGGGAAGATGGATCTTTGTTATGATGTAGCCTATAGTGCTTGGAAAGTGAATGTTCTTTATAGCCCCTCTTTACATTATATACATGCTCCCGCAAACGGTCCCTTAATCTCCTGGTGGTTTGACCAATGTACTGTTTCTTACAAGGACATTGTAAGAGATAAACAACATATCTACTGCTGCATGATATAAAATTCTCAATATTATAGGTCTTCCCAGTAACAGTCGATGTAAAGTTCTCGATTTTCTTTTTCCTACATTGATTGCATGTGCATATAACGCACTTGTTACATGGGAAAAAACCCCACCAAATTGTTAAAAAAGGATACATTACTAGGCGGGTTGATAATGTTGGGGGCTATTCGATTTCTCAAAGGTGCTGCTCTTTTAAATGTAATCTCTGGTTTATCCGGTAAGATTTTTGCTAGGACTGGGTCTGCTTTCAGAATCTTCCAGTTATTGTTAATGATTCTAGAAATGGTTTCATATTGTAAGGAGAATGTAGTGACAAACAGGCAAACTTTCGATTCTTTTTGTTTAGTATTCTTAACAAGTAATCAACAGCACTTCTCTATCCAGGTCAGCTACTGATTGCATAATACTACTACATACGTGTAAGAACGGTCTCATCATAGCCTTTTTCAACAAATCTATTTTTCAAAACAGAAGCTTGTGAGAGATAGGTATCCAAAGAGGTGCAATTCCTCCTAATCCTAAATTGTGTGTTGCTAAGATTGAAAATGCCTCTTCCTGCTACAGCTTTCTCTTTTTTTAGTTTATTGGCCCTTTTACCTCCCCTGGATCAACAAAAAGGAGAAGGAGTTTTTATGCCCCACAGCCCAGAGACTACTGGTGATTTATATTCTACCCAAAGTACATAAAAATCCACTAAACCCGCCAGGGAGACCCATCATTCGTGGCATTGGGTCCCTTTGCTCTAAAGTAGGGGAATACATTGATTATTTCTTGCAATCATTAGTACAAAAAACTCCTTATCTTAGAGATACTAAACAAGTCCTACAGGACATGAAAGATGATTATTGAACCTGATACGTTCCTAGTTACAGCTGATGTTGCATCGCTGTACACAAGTATTGATCACATACAAGGAATGCAAGCTGTGGAATTTTATCTAGAGGAATCTGTCAATATGCCCATTTTACAAAAAACTTTTATTCTCACTCTTTTAGATTTCACAATGACCAGAAATTATTTTTGGTTTGATGGTAAATTTTATTTGCAGACCAGGGGAGTTGCTATGGGGGCGAAGTTCGCTCCCAGCCTGGCCAATTTATTCATGGCCAGGTGGGAGGAAGATGTAATTAATGCTAGGGACTGGCCAGAGCTATTTTCCCCTTACGTCTTTCAGGCCAACACCTTGAGAGACCTCGGCTCCTCCCCATCTGAGGAAACACCTCCACCCTAAAATAAAAGACCTCCACTCCCCTCCGACCTCAGTTCAGGTGTTTCCTCCGGTGGGGAGACACGAGGAAGCACGAGGTGCTGTCACCTAGACGGCAGGGGAGCCGAGGGCCAGATAGCCGGCTGACAGGCTCGACGCAGCCGGGAGTGAAGGCCGGAGGGTCTGGCTGCACATCCTCCCTGGGCGGGCTGTGTGGCAGTGGGCGCACACCCCGGGTGACGGGGCCAAGCACGTACCTGCACTTCGCCCCCCGACCCCCTCCGGCGAGTTGGGGCGTCGGGGTGGCTGTGGTACGATCTGGAGAGGATCTGGGTGATGTCTCGCTCCTTCCCATGCTGGCGTTGGTTGTTGCTGGGCCGGACGCCGGGAGACGTTGAGTTCCGGCAGAAGGGGGGGCTTCACCCCGGGCCACGACCTCCGCTTCCTGGCGC